CAAACACTACATCAGTACTCGGGTGCCTAAACCCACTGAGCCACTCATACTATCTAAAAAAAAAAAAAACTAAAGGTTCTTGCTGCCATATTACTCTGCTTATATGCATTTACATCTTTAGTTATTAAGATATCTATTCTGTTTATCTTGATAAATTTTCTTATTCCACAATGTCCCTATGTATTTCCTTTAGATTTACTGATACTACTGAATGTTTAATGTTTAATGTTTGAAACAAATAAATGTGCTAGACATCAAAGGTCATATAGCACTATGGTAAAGTATTGTGTCGGAAAGGGGAAAGAGGAGTTAAAGATTAGGATAAGATGTGTTAGATGTCAAAGATTAGAGAGCATTATAGGATAGTATGGTAGTGAAAAGGGAAAAGAGGGGAGTAAGTAAACTAGAGTAGAGATTAGTATAAAGGGGAGGATTAAGTCAGTAGGGCGATTGAGTGAATTATAATGTATTTGTCACTGGGGAAGGTATAGGAACAATGTTCAAGGAAAACAGAGATGCCTGTTGGAAAAGTAGAAGAATCTGGGGAGAGGGGGGATGTTTAGACGTCAAAAGTATGGAAACAAAAAGGGAAAAGAGGGACGTAAATGAAGTAGAGCAGGGATTGATAAAATGGGAAAGGTTAAGGGGGTAGAGCGACTGAGTGAATAGGGAAGGAATAGGGACATTGTTCAAGGAAAACAGAGGTGGCTGTTGGAGGAGTGGGAGGAGAGGAATCTGGGGGATGAGAAATGGGGACTGGGGAAGGTGGTGAAGTATCAGGAAGAATGTCTGAAGGGGAGGGGTCTGGAGAAGGACACTGTTGTTATAGAGGGGACTCATGTGAGTATTCAAGTGGGAGCAGTAGAGAGGGTGGGGTATGTTGGGAGGATGTAGGAAGAAGGGGGGTGGAGGGAAGTTGTGGAGGAGGAGGATGGATATCTGCAAATACTTTAAATGTAGGAGTAGGAACAGAAGTTTTGGGAGTTGGGTGAGGGAGCAGTGTTTTCCCTTGGTTCATCTTTAGGGAGTTTTGGATGTCTTCAAGGATTATTGGAGGGGAGTTTGGTGAAGAGGACTGAGAAACAAAGGTTCCCTTATGAGGAGAAGAGGAGATAGATATCTGAGGACCAGAAAAGGAAGGTGTAGGAGAGGGTGGAGTGAAACATTTAGGTTGCCTGGTGCGAAAAATACAAGTGAGGAGGAGGGGTAGGTATCAGGGAAGTGGTAGAGATTGGAGTACCTGGATTTAGAATGAATTTGACTGGGGGATAGGGTGAGTAGAGATGGGATGGTTTAGTCCTCAGATTCAAACCAGGCCTCACACAGAGTGAGGCCTGGCTTGAATCTGAGGACTGCTACTTCGCATTCAAGCTTAAAGACAGGGCAGCTCCTATAAAATACATTATGGGAGTCTCCACAACTGGCACATCTACATGACTGAGCAGGGCAATTTGAATGGTCATGACCAGGTTGGGCACATACAGGGCATTGGGCTGTGGAGTGACAGTGTTAGGCTGGGTGGCCAAAATGCCAACATTTCTGATATTGACAAGGAAGGGGTCAACATAGACATGGGAGGACGATCCATCAATATAAACCTCATGGGGGAGGTCGTGTCTATAGAAGCTAATCTTGGCAATATTGACCTGGGACTTATGCTGGCATCTGGATGGAATAGTGTAACCATGGACTGCCACTGCATCATAATCAGCAAGGCAGGTAAGTAGGTAATTTTCACAGTTTGACCAGTCCTTGTTGTAGATAGGACAAGCATTTGGGGATAGAAACAGTTCCAGTACAAGTATTAAGAGAGGGGTGAGGTTCAGCAAGAATGGGTTTACCAGTAAGGTCAGTTAGGGTAGATAGTGCACGAGCTTGGGATTCAGATGCAACTGTGACAAGGCGTGAACAATCGGAACAACTGCAAAAGGTAACCTTGCCAACTTGTTTTTGGAGGCACTGTTGAAAGAGATGGGTATTTTCAGAATAGGGGGTTGTGGGGGGAATCACAAAGAATCGATCCCACTTGGCTGAGCTAAAGAGATTACTCAAAAGGTTTGCAGAGGTAAAGGCAGTAGAAGGACGAGGGGGAGAGGAAGATGGGGTGGTGTGGAGTGGAGTAGTTGTGTGTCTGTTTGTGTCGTGTGTGTGTGTGTGGGGGGGGGGGAATATGGATGAATAGTAGTAATAAGGGAAGAGGGGGTAGACACTGAAGAGGACTGTGCAGTAGGAGATGGAGAGGAGAATGTTGGGAGAGTGGAAAGGGTGCTTTCTGGAGGTTGATTGATAAGATGGGTGGGTGTTTTGGAATGGATAGAGTTGTCAGGAAGGGGTAATAGTATCAGTGGTCGGAGCCGTGGTCAAAGGAGGGCCAGCGGTTGGAAAACCATCAAAATCAAATTTAGATCAGCTAACTGATGAAGGGGCAAGCCTTAATGCCCCTATTAAGGGTAAAGAATCTTCATTACTTGCCATGGCGAGCCTGAATAAAATGGGGAAAAGAAACGGTCTACTCTTCAGGGTCCCCATACGAGGAAAAGGCTAGGCAATTAACCAAGGGAATACTGTGCCCATGGCTCCCGAAGGCCGTTCATGACTGACACAAAGCCAGCCTTTCATCTTTTCAACACAGCTCTCACACCATAGGAATGGGATTAGAAGGGTATGAAGAAGATATGAAAGAGGAAAGGAGAAAGGAAAAGACCAGGCAGGTGAAGGTGAAGGCTGAGGCCCAAGGCAGGGGTGATCTCCTACACTGGGTCTCAGTCTCCATCTCCTAAGCCCTCCCACGACAACAATGAGCAAAGTATCGGGAGAGTGATACTATAGAAAAAAATAAACCATTAAATTTTTTTTTTTTTTTTTTTGTAAACTGTCATATCGTGCAATACCCTTTCATGTGCCTTGTAAATTCTTATGGAAAATTTATCATGACTGAGCCAGACTGCTGCATTGTTCGGAATATTTGAATGACAGAATTTCCAAATGCTTCCAAATAATACTAACTCTGATCTTTGATACAATGAGAAGTGGATAAACAAAGATAAAATGAATTTTTAGTATTAGTAGATGACTTACATTCTACTCAGCAGACTATACAGGCAACGGCAGTGACAGCATCTTTTAAAAATTCTGGAGAGATTGAGGTGTTTCGGTATGTGTGTTGTGTCATGTGCCATGTTCTATCTTGTGTTGACATATGTTGTACGTGATCGAGTATGTACATTTTCATGTTGGGCGAGTACTCGCATTCATCCACACGATTGCAGTCTTTGAAAATTTATGCTTGCAAAAACACAGGAACTTCAAGAACTCATTCATGTCTACAACATCTTGGCAGAACATAAAAATCAGAGAGGAACTCAAAGGATAAAAAAATAAATAAAATGAGCCTGTACTTTTATATCAAATATCATATGATTTTTTGGACCTATTGAAATCATATAATCAAATTATGTACATCACTTGTAAAAATGTTATTACATTATCACAAAGATCTAAATCTGTTTTAAAACAATATTGATAAACAAATTTCAAAAATGCATATAATAATCATTAAATAATAAAATAATTGTTATAAAAGTAATGATAATAATGGAACTCATAACAATAATAATGAAATTAATAATAATAAGGGTAATAATGAAATTAATAATAATAATGGTAAAAAAATAATAATAAAAAAATATAAAAAATAAAAATAATAAATAATAATAATAATAATAATAATAATAATAATAACAATAATAATATCATCATCACCAATCACAACAATTATTCAAACAATAATGATAAAGACCATACACACATACATGTATAAAAAAACAAGTTGCATCAGTTTTGCAGAGCGATTGACGCCAGCCTCTGTGGCCACTTGGCTTAAAAGGAAAATGCGATTCGCTACACAATGACACTACACTGCGCACATGTGAGGTCTGTGCCGAGAGACATCAGAAAATTGGGTCACCTCTCTCGCGATACATCACAGATGCTACCTGGCACTTATTTTTTTTCTTCTTTTTTGGTTTTGGGTTTTGTTATCCGTTCCTTACAGAAAAGAAAAAAATAATAACAATGAAATAAAATGGCGGAAACATGACAAATCACTCAATCAAGAAACTCCTTGTTCTCTTCTCCTCTCCTCCGGGTTAAGCCTGAATTGGCGAGTGATTCCTTACCTGACTAGAAGTTACAAAGGATCAGTCGTCACCTGCAAACTAACGCATCTCTAGCTTTACGTCTGTGACACCATAAACCATCACCAGCTTTTGAAGTGCTTTAGTGCAATCCTTGAAAATTGTTGGTTAAAATAAGTTTTGCACAACAAAGAAAGGAAAGATAAAGAAAATGAAAGCATAGGGATACTTGTCCAGTTAATAAATTAACGAGAGGATGCTGTACAGTCATCTATACATGAAAAGAAAGGTAAATACTACAGACGAAAATAAAATTAGTACGACAAAATGAGAAAAACAAAAAAATTCTATTAGCACAGTTATCGGTTACACTAACCTAGCTAGGATTAAAACAAAAACAAAAAGGTTAAAGATGTCTACAGTTAAAAAGAAAACATAAAATGCAATATGTGAAAATGAAAAGAAAGGAATGCATCATAGTTTAAAAGCTGTAATAGTACATACTGTCACATCATCATCCACAAGACCTGCTCTAACTACACAAGGATCAGACCATCACTAATGCCCTCTTTCTCGACAAAACTTTTTGAACTTACGTGCAAGCCTTTGAACGTTCAGTCGGACCCCAGCATTAAGGCCATCTCAAGATATGTATGAAAGTCAATTCACTCCCTAAGTTCTTTTTTTCTTTTTTCTTTTTCAAAAGTCATAAAAAAGAAAGAATAATTATGTACATTCAGATACAAGTTAGAGATATGGCAACATCCACACCAAAAATGATGTTCCAAGGTTTCTTGTCTGGCTGAAGAAGCTGACGGCCAGCGTGCAGTCACCTCTTACGTGCCAAGACTTCCAAGACTTTCCTTCTTTCTCCTTTTCATGGATGATCAGATTTTGGCAAAAAAATTGAGGATCTACAATAAAACTTACAACTAATGACTGGAAAACCTTATCTGAATGCATAAATTATCTCTGAATATGGACAGTTCTTGAACCTTTTCTTCTCTTACACTCTCTCTTGCTCTCTCGCTCTCTCTCCTCCCCTCTCACCACAGCATATAAAATGAACACCAAAAAGGAATAAGTACAAACTACAATATTCAACACTGTAAACAGTGTAGTCAAAACCTGTAGAAAAATCAGATGGAAGAGAAGCTTGGCACGAGCCTCCCAGCGTGAGAGTTATGGCAGTGTTTGGTGCCCACAGAAAAACCCGCATACAGAGACTACCCACACAGCTCTGCCCAGACATCACAACACAGTAATGTACAGCCTATACAAAAGCTTTGGACCGAGATGGGGCATGCTGATGAACACAGTTCCAGATACAAAGCTGTGTAGAAAACTCAAATACAGCCATGTACAGGGACCATCCCCACAACTGTGTATGGGCACTGAATGCATGGCCTGGCAAGTAGGCAACCTGTACACTGCCTATTAAACAAGACAGGAAGACATGAATCAGATGTTTAATAGCAAACAAAAAAATGATATTACACTACCATTTTTCAAAATATTTCCTCACAATGTCTTCAATTAAGTCTGACAGCCACTTCTTTGCTTTCTAGACCATGAGGTTCGCAGATATATATGTAGCATTAATCAAGGAAGGCAAATGAATGAAAAAATTCATATAAACATGACAAAACTTGAGCTCTCTAGGAGTGATGACCAGCAACGCCCTGCTCGGATGGTCAGCTCACAGCTTGGGGTCACAACTAGCAAGTCCGTGAGTATCTTGTCCACAAAACAAACACGCTTTTTATATTTTCACATATCAATGTAAGTTTAACCATCTCATGCTGGCCATGGGCAGGCAGCATCTTTCCGTACTAATGGCTGATGACAAATCCACAAGCAATCTTTAGTATAATTGGCAACCGGTGCTCTCCCAGTCCTCCTTCGGATATCAAGGTCATACCATTTGAACGACTTCTATTGAACTCATTCATTTTCTTACGACAGGCAGTGCTTGCACTAAGCAGGGATATGAATCAAATGGCACACATTGCACAGTGACCTCATATCAGGCAGATATGCTTGGCATCTGTGTTTGGTATTTCTCCCAACTTCTTAGCCACCATCATCATCTTAACTTTAACTTGTTATGTGTATCCACTCTCTTTCTTGGCGAGTCGAATATCATTTTCAAATTTACATCTTTTAAAAGTTTACGGCACATGTCATATTATAAAAGATATAAAGAGCACAATTCTGCTAGAAATTCTGCTGTCTCTTCCTTTTCTGGTCCATAGCATCAAGGATAGGTTGTCGCTTAGCATGATAGCGTTGACGCAACTCATCAATTTCCCGTTCCATTTCCTGGTCTAGAGTAGCCATCCGCTGATGTAATTCTTCATAAGTCAGGTTTTTGAGCTGAAAAGATATATATTTTTTTAATTATTTGCCATTATAATAAAAATTACTGTTCTTGACAGGAATATAAACTACATTTAATCAAAAGTAGTAAAAAATAAAATAACATGACAACACACTAAACACTATCCTTAAAAACAAAGGCATCAATGCTTAGAACCTACAAAATCAAAGTCGCCATCAATGAAAGATCTCTGGAACTTGGGTTGATTCTCGGCTGCAACGCCCCGAGATGGCAGTGGCTGGTGATTGGCTGGTTTGTTCATCTGAACTAACTGTCTCTGCAGATTATTCTGAAATTAACAATGAAATTCAGTTTCTCTTTCTGGGCATGGAATACAGATTTTGAATATAGGTGCAAAAATAATTTGTTTTCTTACACCTGTTTTCAATTAGTTGATACTTTTGCTGATGCAAACATGTCTGGCACTTTAATCTTCATTAATATCATCTTACAAGGCATTTGAAATTATCTACTTAACAGCTTCTATTTAGTTGTAGTCCATATAATTGTGTATAATGAAGTATATAACAAACAGTAACCTATGGAAGAGCTCCTCCTTGTGTACAAAATGAAATATAAGAGTGAGGTTCAAAGATAAAGCTGTACTTTGTGACCCTTTCACTTGAGAGACATACTTGAAAAGTCTGATTGATTACCATGATCTATCTTTAATTAGAGCAAGACATAAAAACACTTTAACGCAAGGTGTATTTTCTCTACACCCATGAGACATTATATACAACAGGCCCCTCCCTGAAAAGGAAGATGCTAATGAAAGATAATTTGAAAGCCCAGGTGTAATGAAGCAAAGAGAATTAAAGAAGGACCATGTGATTTTTATTCATTAGCCCTAAAGATCTGAAGAGCTGATTAACCCAATGCCTCCAGGTTGGCTGCAACACCAAAAGGCCGAACTTCTGGGGCCACACATAAGCATGGTGGCACAGAATATAGGCAACCTCTGTATTCTTTCATGCTATATATACAATGACAAAAGTCCTGGTTTGTGCCTTTGATGCAGACATGTATGAACTAATGGTGCTTCAATTTATCTTTTAGCTTAAATTCCAGCAAAAGCCTGCCACAATACAAAGTCGACATGACTGAAGGGCTGTAATTTGTGAGACTCAACTAAGATACTGACACAAAAGGCCCTTGTGAGATAGCCAATTTCAGCATGGCATGACATAACTACCATGTGGAGGCAAAGGATTAACAAAACTTTACAAAAGTAATAATTTTCACTTTGTAAAGCAAACTTGGTTACTTGTTACCTTACAATACAAAACGAAAGACAATCATAGACCCACTATCAAATTGCTGAATTTCCCAAAGCAAAAACTACATACTATAGACAAAGAAGACCTGTAACTGGGCCAATTTTTTTTTCTTCTAAATGAATTAGGTACATTGTGTTAGATACAGTGTGATCATGAATCACAGAGGTAAATAAATATATCCAGAAATGAGTAAAATAGGAATTGAGAAAGAAAGAGAGGGAGAAACCAGCAAAAACAAAATAAATATGAATAGATAAAAAAGAAATCCCTCTAACACATGTAAATTACAATAAGAAGTTTAAGAATTTTATAAAAGATATTGAAACAAAATTTGGGAAGCATTCACATGAAACTATAAACATGAAAAGAAGCATCCTATCTGTTCTTTCAGTTATCTTACAAACCAGGATAAGCAGACTAATCTTAAAGAAAGCCTGCAAAAAATCAATCATAAGTTAAAGTAAATAAGCTGGATAGCATTTTTTTTACAGAAAGCTTTAACAAAAAAGACACTTACTTGTTCCTCTTCCAAATTTGAGCACTGCTAGAGCAAGGAAAGGTGTGTTAGTTTGCAAGGCATAAAATAGATGAGTTAGTAGGTCCTTTATAAACTGAGCAGGAATTTGAGAAAATATAAAGATAACAAGGACAGCAATGAAACTGTGGCTTCTGATAACACCGGTATTCAAAAGAGGATTCTTTTCTATAGAAAAATAGGAAATACATAAAACAGCATACTAGTTGTCACCAACAATAAATTTTGAGATTGGCTGAGTTTTGATTAGAATACTAAAAATGCTCCAACTTCAAGAACACTACAACCAGAAAATCCTCCATGGAGACAGAACACAAGCCAAAAGTCAACAAAAAGTAAGCAAATATCCCATGCTGGTCCTCATGGCTACACCGTTATAAGCTATCCCTTTATTTTTCGCTTCTCAAACCCACCTCGAACTTCTGTTGCTCCTCAGCCGACATGGGCTTCGGCTGCGAGTGTATTAGCGCCGTTGGAGAATAAACCATTGTGCCGTCTCCACCTTGTTGGTCCTCAAAGGCTTGGCTGTTTTGCACCTGTTGCTGCTGCTGTTGTAGCTGTATTTGTTGTTGTTGTTGTTGTTGGTGCTGTTGGTGATGCACTGTGCTGGGCTGTGGCTGCTGCTGCTGTGAGTGCTGAGGCTGTTGTAGTAACTGTTTTTCTTCTAAAGGCAACTGTAAAGCAGAAAGAAAACCATGAAGAAAATTAACATCAAGGCAGGAACAAGTGAATCATGTGACAACTTCACCTGACATTATTCTCATTTGATTCCTCAAATACACTTCAGCTATTTTTCTTTTTCCAGATTGCATCAGTGACTAAGCTATGAAAATTTATCTACACTTTTCTGATCTCTAAGAATATACAGTACTAAACCTTAGTCAAAGTCCTCTTTTTCTTATCATAACTTTCCTGAAACCCAAAAAATAAAAATACTACAATAAAAAGTACCATTCTTTAAACTTCAAAGCAATACCTCCTTTTTTAAAGGAAAAAAAGGATATGAATATCAAACTTGGCATTATGGTCTCTGCACTTCAAACTATTTCAGCGGTAAGAATTTCTATCAAAGGCAAGATTTAAATATAATACCTGGGATGATTGTGACGTCGGGTGCTGTTGTGTGACAATAGGTCTGCCCGTCCCAACATATTGCTGCGGCGCCAACTGCTCCAGCGGAGAGTTATCCTTTGAACCTTTACTTCTTGCCTGAGACAAGAAAGCATTCAGTTAAACAAATAGTAATTAAATGTGCAATATGTTTGTCAAAAGCACAAAATGAATACAGAAAATCCAAAAGTTCCACACCACATGAGCTCATATGTCATCACAAAAACTAAGGACCTGTCATTCCTTACCCTCTTTTCTTGTTCTTTTTTATCGAAATGGTCAAGGAACAAAGGCCTGTATTTCTTGCTCTGCTCACCAGGAGCAGTGTCATGCCCTGTAGAAAAAAACAAATTATAATGACGCATCAAAACACATTTCAAGTAACTAACTCCTACTTTTAGTTAAATATTAGCAAAATACACCCTTTCTTAATAAAAAAAAAAACATAAAAGTAATATCACATAATTATTGCTATATGATAATAATACCATTTATTTTGAAAAAAAATATATATATATCTACTGTAGATTCAACAAAAAATCAATAATCAAATCTTTAAGTAAATCTCTCCTACATGTTGTCCCTCTTTCCACTGAACCTCATCCTCCATAAATCCACCGGTCCCTCCAAAGCACCGAGTCAATCTAAAAAAAATTCTCTCCACTCACTCTTCATTGTGGAGTCCTCGTCTTCATCTTCATTGTCGGAGTTTATGACCATTGTCCCGAGGTCTGAGGAGAGCGTCGCCGAGTCTACCGGTGAGACAAGAGTGCCACCAGACTGCAGTGGTGCCATTAGAGTGCCCTCGTTGTTGGCAGGGCGCAAGGTACCACTGTCACCCCCACCGGCACTATACCTGACCATCGTCCGACTGTCCACTTCATCGTCGTCCTGAAGGAGAAGCAGGCGTATATGAAAATACCAGCCTGTCCATTCTGAAACTCTTGCTTCACCAACCTCCATGAGCCACCTCCAAAGCTACATGGAATCATGCATTTGTTAATCATTATTTTATGCCTATGTCAACTAGCAAAAAGGTCATCTAAGAATGAGACACTAATCATCATTATTTCATTTTTAAAAACTAATAAGACAATAGCAATTTAACTAAAGTTGATTAGGATCTAACCTCCACCACTATAAACTGCAGTGCAACTAAACATGAAATTAATGGTTGTCTGTCTGTCTGTCTGTCTGTCTGTCTGTCTGTCTGTCTGTCTGTCTGTCTGTCTGTCTGTCTCTGTCTGTCTCTCTGTCTGTCTGTCTGTCTGTCTGTGTCTGTCTGAGTCTGTCTGTCTGTCTGTCTGTCTGTCTGTCTGTCTGTCTGTGTCTGTGTCTGTCTGTCTGTCTGGTCTGTCTGTCTGTCTGTCTGTCTGTCTGTCTGTCTGTCTGTCTGTGTCTGTCTGTCTGTCTGTCTGTCTGTCTGTCTGTCTGTCTGTCTGTCTGTCTGTCTGTCTGTCTGTCTGTCTGTGTCTGTCTGTCTGTCTGTCTTTATGTATGTCTGTCTTTATGTATGTCTGTCTTTATGTATGTCTGTCTTTATGTAAGTTTGTCTTTTTATATCTGTGTGTTTATCTGTCTATTGGTCTACCAGGCTAATATATAAATTATACTGATATTTAATAATTCATTTGGTCGAAGTAACCAAATAATTTTTTAAATAAGACCTTGATCTACATCTACATTTTTTTTTTTTCTTTTTAAGAAGCCATGCACAAAAATAGCTTTAATCACTCTGATAACATGCATTACAAGAGGACAAGCAAACAAAAATATGATAGAAAAATACCAATAAACAAAGAATAACATGCACCAAAACCACATAGAAGAATAACATGCACTAATAAAATTGGAATTATATATGCACAAAGATATACAAAGAAAACATGCATAGAAAGTGTACAGAAGAGCCAAATACAAGCTTCATCAAATATAAATTACAATGTATTACATATTACACATTCTTAACTAAAATAGTACAACAATGTAAGTACCATACCAACATTTATAACAACTCGGGTTACAATTATCTAACGTGCTTCAACCAACGCAATCCCTCTCAAATATGACCTTGGTACAAATCTTTCTTGCGATAAATTGCGAAAGGTATGTAACATTCATCTGCATGCTTTTAAAGGTATCTATGTTACTCATTCAAAATAAATTTCTACATTTTGAGAGAGAACAAGATGACATATGTTTTAGTGACACTACTGAAAACAGTTTAATACACTACAAGAAACTAATTACAATTTCAGTGAAAATTGCCAAAACGTGCAAAAGTTTAGGCGTCCCCCTTCAAAACCCAGTTAGATCCAAGCATTATTGAAACAAAAACAAAAACAAAAATATATATATATATACATAAATAAACATGGTACATTCCCATTAGACATTGCATGCAAAACATTGTATTAGGCACATTCTCAGGACATTATCATCTATTTCAAGCATCTTTCTCCCTTTAGCACATTCATTACCTTGACATCAATGATTTCCTAGAAGAAAAATATTCATTTTGTCATTTTTTTTTTCCATTTTAGCTTCCTTAACATAATGAAATAAACTGGATATTTACCTTACATATACTCTAAGTTATACTGTATGTATGTGATCTTGTTACAATACACCAAAATCATAAAATCTACAAAAAATCTAAATCTAATATATTCCATACAATTTCATGCAAGTATGTCAGTGTAACCTTATTCTATGTTAAAATATATATCAGGTAATCAAAAATATGTAGCATATACTACATACAACAAGTAATTCACACATTATTTTTTCTAACAAAACAATTTGAAGTGTCTTTGCCAAAAGCACAAAAGAAAAGGTTACCACCACTAGCCATATATGAGTGAAAGACAACAGCAAAGAACACTTAATTCATATACATACACTTTCCTTTTTCTTTTTAAACATATATAACATTTAAAAAAAAAATACTGGTGGAGACAGGAGCAAATGCAGGACACCAGCATTCAGGGTAAACAGTACCACAAAGAGGTGTGCACAGCAGGATATAAACAAACGCCACATGCTCTGTCCCTGGAGCGGCCACTAACCTGGATTTCATTATTAGCCAGGTTGGGGTGGTGCTGATGGTGGGTTTGGTTGTGCTCATTGTTTTTGTTGTCTTGCTCAGCTTGTGTGCTCATCCCCGGCAATTGGAGCTGGGGGGACTGCTGTTGCGACAACTGGGAGACAGTCAGCGTGTTATTATAACGCAAGCAAGCACGGTCAGTCTCCTTTTCATATAACTAATCCAGTTGTGTGGTCAGATACACTGCGTCATGCTCCAGCTTGCTACAATAACTCGCTTGCTCAACCCACTTCACAAAAATTTCTCTCTAAATCTGAACATCTGATAACGTGCTGGGGAGCCTAATAGCACAAAAATAAACATCACATAAAAACAACTTGTGCCTCAGCAAAACAACCATCGAACACCATCCTATTACATTCTAAGTACTTTCTGAAAGAATGTGCTGCAGCCACATTTTAGATCCTAACATAAAGATAAATAATTAAAGTACAGCCCCTAATCCTTACAAAAATTCCTATGCTATTCTCTGACATCCACCACATATTCCTCACTAAAATATAACTCAAACATAACAATCTTTATGAGAAAATATGGAATCTGGATTTACCATACAACCATATGATTCCTACTCTGTTCCTACAGCAAACTCAACAAAAGAATTGGTTCCTCTTTCTAACTTTTCGATCTCATACATCATGTCTTCAAACTGGTTCTTCTGGCACACCTGAACATCCTTAACAAGTGCCATGAGACCTATGACAATCTATTTTTGTCTCTCTCTTTAGAGATGTTCTTGCCTGTTCTAGCTAAAAATTACTAACAATTCCTGCATCGCATTTTGATCACCTGACACAAAAAATTCAACCAATATATCTTTGCTTTCTTAAAGATGCCTGAATCTTTTAAAACAAGACAAAGTTTACTAAGAGAGCCCATATCAGGACTACAATCAAATAAGTATTAACTCCCACCTGATAACATGCAAATTAGTTAACTATCATTTAATTGTTGCTCCATTATAGTAGGGAATTCCACCTGCCAAACTCCCAGTTAAAATTTCTTTAAGCTATTTATCTAGTTTGCAACACTACAAGCCTTGACACATTAAGAGTAATTCCACCACCAAATAAACTCCCATACTGTGCTATAAGTATCTGTTCCTCTTTTATTATTGAAAAACTGGAAGCTCCTATTTCAAAAAGAATAATTTAGAATACAAAAAGAATTTAGGTCTTTACTGCTAGAAAAAAGTCTAGTTAGTTTAGTCCCTCACATATAACATCAATTTTATTAATGTAATTACATAAGGCATCTATAAAAGTACATGCAAATGATGGCAAAAGTTAACCAAATTAACATTTAGACTGAGAACTATCCTTTTACCATTCAAATGTTAATAAAGTGGACATTTAGAATTTACCATTCATGACACCAAAGAATAACATCAAATTTCAAATTCAGTTTAATTCATAACAAACATGGAAAAATAATAATAAATTAGAAATACACATTAAAACTTAATAAACATACACTTTCAGAAATACACCAAATATCTCTGAGACCCAGTGCTTCAACTCACCGATTCCGTGATATGCTTGATTTGGTTCTGCCGGTTGGAGTTCTGGTTCTCCCGGATCTCCATTGCCTCCTCCAGCATGTTCCTTAGAATGCTGGCCGGCTGAGCACCACGGATGAACTGGTGCTGGAGGAGCTTTGATGCCGTCGCTCTCTCCTCGGGGTTCTTCACCAGACATCTGGATTCGGACAGATACAAAGCTTTAACAGAGAATGCCCACTGAAGATAGAGATTCAATCTGTCTACCATTCCTTCTCATGAATCAACGAGGGAAAGGTCTATGTGTATGAAAAAGGAAAGCTTCTCTATAAATGACATGATTTACCCAATACATTGATAGTACCTATAGCTGCCCAAAATTTGGAATAATAAAGAAAATAAAAATGGGTAACTACAGGAAAATTTCAACTTCTAGATATAGAAAGACAAGGAAAGTAAAATCCATGAAACAATATTTCCTCATCTGGTACTCATACACCCTTCAATCAATTCACACCTATCAATACATTGACTTCCTTCCTCAATCAATTGATTTCATGCATTCACTCACCATCCCTTCCCTTGCTCTAAAACATCCAAAGCACATATTCACTAACAATTCTTTGGCAATCCCCCAGGACTCCTTACCTGGACACAAAGTCGATGAACTCGGGTTGCCACTGATCGGGCTCTCGGAATGATGGCGGTGGCTTAGTGGGGATCATGAATATGGCACGCATAGGGTGAATGTCACCGTAAGGGGGCTTCCCCTCCGCCATTTCTAATGCTGTTATACCTGGTTAAAACAAGAGTGGATATGGTAAGTCTGAACTTGAGTGAGTGAGGTGGACTTTTGACTTTGGTTTGGTGGGTTTTTACCACGGGGATAGAATGTATGTACCAGCCATGCCCACTGTGAATTTAGATAATTAATACTGTTTACTTATCAATAGTTCTACAAGTCACACAAATGGTTCTACAAAGGCTTAGTCACTAAGGATGTCAATTACTGGTCCTTATCTCACCTAATTACCCTTTTCCTTTATTTTCACAAATATTTTTTTCTTTTTTTACTTATATCCATATCAGTATTGTTAACAACAATATAATAATTATAATGCCAGTAATGAAAATAACATCATTAATATCAATAGCATTAATAAAACACATTCTTCCCAAAAATTCAAGGACAGGGGAGATCAGGTCAGGTCAACTAACTCCATAGTGGCTGAGGATTTGTGGCACCATCTATAGAGGTATTTAACAAAACAAAACTAGAGGGAATCTGCATCAAAAACAATTACTAGTACATGATCCCTAATTAATGTAGATAGCCCAATTTATCTTCAACCTCTAATAAACAAAATTATTCCAAGTAAAACTAAAAAATCCCTCATGAGAAACATATTAAAAAAGTTGTACAACCAAAACCAGACTTGGCTCACCTAAACTCCATATATCAGCTACACAGTCATAACCTATTTCCTGAATTACTTCTGGGGCCATCCAGAAAGGAGTGCCTATCACAGTGTTTCTTTTGGCCATTGTGTCCTGCAAGAGGGGAAAAAATAAGAAGTTAAAAACATCTTCCAGAAATTCTTTGGCTAATATCCCTACATACAAACATCCATAAAGCATGCTGTAAATATTCGTTGTCACTAAAGCATCTCACGAGTATCAGCAATATTAGATCGACCTTCAAGTGGCAGTGCATTTGACATACTCGGTCCAAAAATAAGTCAACTTCAAAAATAACAAAGTCCTCTTCCCATGCCTCAGCTGGCACTTGGCTCCCTCTCCCTCTTGGAAGCTTGTGTAATTATGGCAACTGCAGCCTTTAAAATTCTTGTATGAATATTAATAAAAAGATACTGATTTTGCAAAATGACTTAAAAGGCTTCAACACTAAAGTGAGTACATTTCATTAATGAATCAAGGGTCAACAAGAACATAAGTATGACCTTGGCTATCAGTCAAGGCAATAATGTGTTCATTTGACAATGAAAATATATCTAACTTTGAGGTAAAAGACCAGCCAATAATTTGGCTATCATCAGTTCATTCTGTTCACTGGCAAAAAAAAAAAAAAAAAAAAAAAAAAATCACACAAACACCTGTCAACATACTACCTTGGGAGATCATATAAAGAGAAACAGTTTGCACACAACCTCAAGTGCATGTAACCTCTAACTGAGGGTTTGACAACAAAATCTTTAAAATACTATACATAAATTATGAAAATAATATATTTCTTACATTCCATCATCACACCATCATTATCAAAAATATTAATCTGAAATCACAACAGAAATTGACGCACCGAGAGTTGACCTGCGACCCCAAAGTCTGCTAGCTTGGCATGACCCTGAGTGTTGAGGAGGATATTTCCCGCCTTGATATCCCTGTGAATCTTCCGTCTCAGGTGGAGGTACTCTAAACCACGCAACGTGTCGTAGATAATGGTCGCGATCTCCTCTTCGTTGAGAGTCTTTTTTCTTAGTCTCATGATGTCTGACACAGACCCAGCACCACAGTACTCCATCACGATCTGGTAGAAAAAACACAAGTGTCTTTCATTCCTGTTCTATTTCATTTTCTTAATAACACATTTCAAAAGTTTATCACATACTTTTCAAGGATTTTTCAAACATGAAATAATGCCAAATCTATACCTATAAAAATGTGTATAATACATCAATTATGATAAAAACATTCATATCTCACAGTGAAGTAAATTCCTATAAAGAAAGGACTGGACACAATACATACCCATAGATCTGAGTCTTTGAAATATGAACCATAATATTTGACGACATGAGGAGAATCGCACTGCTGCATTATAGATATTTCTTTTATAATTTCTTGAAGGTCTGTGTCAATGGGCACCTGTTTGATGGCCAGCACCTGCCCAGATTCCTTGTGTAAGGCCTTATATACACTACCATAGGACCTGCAAAACAAGAGAGCAAGACATAAGGAACAAGGCATGCATACTCATTAATACAGTAAAGGGTGGGAAAAAATTATCTTCTTTATATCTATCCAGCGTACAGCACACATTGTACTCTATTATTATGTTTGCCAACTGCCTATTTCTTTTTAGATATTAAAAAAACTGTGCTGGCACGTGTCATTCTTGGCCCTAGTCTCTCATTCCTTGTATCAATTACACGTGTGTTTTGATTACCTAATTGCTGGTCAGGAAAGGTATTAGGGAAAGGATGATAGCAGGGAGAAGAAAGTAGTGAATATGTGGGATGGAGACTGAGAGATAGGATAAGAGAGAGAGAACATGAGAGAGGATGGCAAAAGGAAGAGAAGAGAGGGAGATGGGAGAAGAGGAGAGGAAAGAGAGGAGGGGGGAGAGAAGGAAAGAGAGGGGGCAACAGGAAAGGGAGAGTACAAGAGAAATAAAGAGGAGAAGGGGAGGCGTACATGAGAGGGGAGGACAATGGATAAGGGTAAAAGGAAAGGTAAGAGAAGAAGGAAGAAGTGGAGAGGAGGAGGGATTAGAGAGGAAGAGAAAGTGAAAGGGAGAGAAGGGAGAAGACAAGGGGTGGAGTGGGAAAGAAAAGGAGAGGGACAGAGTAGGGAGAAGGGAACAGGTTGTAAGGGGGAGAGGGAAGGAGAAGGGGTGATGGGGAAAAATGAGGAGAGGGGAATATGGGGGAGGGCAGATAAAGGGGAGAGGGTAAGATGAAGAGAGGGAAGGAGATAGGTAAAAGGGTAAAGGAAGAGAAAAGAGGGAGAGAAGATGGATGGGGGGAAAAGAGAGGCAGAGAGAGGAGTAAGCAGAAGAGAAGAATAAGTGAGGATGGAGAGAGGGGGAACTGGGGACAGGAGGGAGAGGAAAATATAGGAAGAAAGGGGAAGGAAAGAAGAGAAGGGGGAGAAAGAAGTGATGAAAAGATGGGGAGGAAGGGGTTGAGTAAATGAATGAGAGTGAGTGAGTGAGTGAGTGAGTGAGTGAGTGAGTGAGTGAGTGAGTGAGTGAGTGAGTGTGAGTGTGAGTGTGTGTGTGTGTGTGTGTGTGTGTGTGTGTGTGTGTGTGTGTGTGTGTGTGTGTGTGTGTGTGTGTGTGTGTGTGTGTGTGTGTGTGTGTGTGTGTGTGTGAGTATTGAGTATTGAGTATTGAGTATTGAGTATTGAGTATTGAGTATTGAGGATTGAGCGAGTGAGCGAGTGAGACAGGATTGAGGAGTGAGTCTGTGAGCGCGTGCGTGATCGAATGTGTGATCGAATGTGTGAGCGAGTGACTGAGCGAATGTTTGAGCGAGCAAGTGAGTGAGTGAGTAAGTGATCGAGTGTGTGAGCGAGTGAGTAAATGAGCGAGAGAGCGAGTGAGTGAATATGCCTTTGAGCGAACGAGGCAGCGCAATCCCACTCATGAAAGGGACTCGGGGGAAACCGCGCCCGTCGACGAAGAAAGAAACGCACGACGCACGCGACCAGACCAACCCAAACAGAGAGGACAAAGAAAAAAAACAGACAAACGACAAAGAAAAACAAAAGAAACGGACCGAGAACCAGAGACTTGTGCGCAAAGAAACACACCGAAGGACAAACAAACAAACACACCAGCGACAAGCCAACCCAGCAAACACACAGACGACAAAGAAAAACAAACAAACGTCAACGAACCGAGAACCAGAGACGGCACGCAAAGAAATACACCGAAGGACAAACAAAACAAAGCGCACAAACAACACACACACACCAGCGACAAGCCAACCCAGCAAACACACGACACACAAAAGAAAAACAAAGAAACGACAAAGAAAAACAAAGAAACGACAAAGAAAAACAAAGAAACGTCAAAGAACCGAGAACCAGAGACGGCACGCAAAGAAATACACCGAAGGACAAACAAAGAACACAAACACACACACACACACCAGCGACAAGTCAAGCCAGCAAACACACAGACGACAGAGAAAAACAAACAAACGTCAACGAACCGAGAACCAGAGACGGCACGCAAAGAAATAAACCGAAGGACAAACAAAACAAAGCGCACAAACAAACACACACACACCAGCGACAAGCCAACCCAGCAAACACACAGACGACAAAGAAAAACAAAGAAACGACAAAGAAAATCAAAGAAACGTCAAAGAACGAGAACCAGAGACGGCAGCAAGAGAAGGACAAACAAAACAAAGACAAACAAACACACACACACCAGCGACAAGCGCAAACACACAGACGACACAAAGAAACGACAAAGAAAATCAAAGAAACGTTCGCAAAGAAATACACCGAAGGACATAAGGACAAAGAACACAAACAAACGGCGACAAGCAACCAGCAAACACACAAACAACAAAACAAACAAAGGATAAGCCTCCGCAGAGCCTCTTCACGACGCAGCCCGCTGACAGATGCGGGGAGGAAGAAATACGAGGAGAGGGAAGGGAAGAGAGGCATGAGGGGAGAGGAAGAGGCATGGGGGAGAGAGGGAGAGGAAGAGGGGGGAGAAGGGGGGGGGGAGAGGAAGAGGAAGTAAAGGCATGGGGGGGAGAAGGGGTAAGAGAGGGAGAGGGAGAGGAAGAAGGAGAGGGAAGGGAGAGGAGAAGGGAGAGGAGAGGAGAGGGAGAGGGAGAGGGAGAGGGAGAGGAGAGGAGAGGGAGAGGGAGAGGGAGAGGGAGAGGAGAGGGAGAGGGAGAGGGAGAGGCATGGGGGGAGAAGGGGGAGAGGGAGAGAAAGAGAGGCGTGAAGGGAGAGGAAAGAGCATGAAGGCAGGGAAAATAGGCACGAAGGGAGAAGGGGTGAGAGAGAGAGGGGAAAAGACGCATGAGGTGAGAGAAAGGGAAGCATGTGGGGAAAAGGGGTAAGAGAGGGAGAGGAACATGCATGAGGGAGGGAAGAGGAGGGAAGGAATTAAAGAGGAGAGGAGAGGAGAGGAAGAGGAAGGGAAGGAAAAGAAGGGAAGGGAAGGGAAAAGGAAAGAAAGGAAAAAGGGAGGGGGGAGGGGGGGGAGGGGAGGGAGGGGAGGGAGGGGAGGGGAGGGGAGGGAGGGGAGGGGAGGGGAGGGGAGGGGAGGGGAGGGAGGGAAGGGAAAGGAAGGAAGGAAGGAAGGGAAAGGAAGGGAAGGGAAGGGAAGGGAAAGGGAAGGGAAGGGAAGGGGAAGGGAAGGGAGGGAAGGGGAAGGGGAAGGGAAGGTGGGAGGTGGAGGGAAGGGGAGGAGAGGAGAAGTGAAGAGAAGAGAAGAGAAGAGAAGAGAAGAGAAGAGAAGAGAAGAGAAGAGAAGAGAGAAGAGAAAGAGAAGAAGAAGAGAAGAGAAGAGAGAAGAGAAAGAGAAGAGAAGAGAAGAGGGATAGGAAGAGAAGCAGCGACGAGAGGCGAGAAGAGCGAGCGAGGGGGGTGGGGGAGAGCGAGAGCAAGAGGACCCGAGGAGGAAGCCCGGGCGGCGCGGGGCGGCCGAGAGTGGCAGTAACAAGTGCCAAGGCTGGCACTCGGCGGCCGTCACGTGGGCGCGCCGCCGCCGGTGAGCGCCCCCAAGGTCACCACGGCCGCGCCACCTTGCTTCGGCGCTGCTCGCCCTCGCCTTCGCTCGTGCGCCGGCCCGCGCCCTCGCCCTCGCCCTCGACCTCGCCCACTACCTTCCCCTCTCACACTCCCACTCCCACTCCTACTCCTACTCCCTCTCCTACTCCTACTACTCCTTTTCTCACACCAACTCCTACTACTTCTCCCACACTTACTCCTACTACTACTCCCTCTCCCACACCTTACTCCTACTCCTCTTCCACTCTTACTCCTTTCTCCTACTCCTCTCTCCCACACCTACTCCTTCCCTCTCCCACACTACACCTACTCCTACGACTCCTTCTCCCACACTTACTCCTACTCCCTCTCCCACACGTAACTCTTACTTCCCTCTCCCTCTCCCCTCCTCCTCTCCCTCTGCTACTCCCACTCCTTTCCTCTCATATCCCTCTCTTCTTCCTTTCCCTTTCCCTCCCTCCTCCTTATTCTCCTCCTCCCTCTTTCTTTCTTTCTTTCTTTTCTCTTCTTTCTTCTCAATCGTCTTTTTCTCATTCTATTTCTGCTTCATTTTCCCCTTCTCTTTTTTTATTTCTTACTTCTCTTTCACCTCCTCTTTCTTCTTCTTCTCATCCCTCTATTTCTCTCTCTCTCCTCTCATGCACGCAGACCTTCACGAACAGTCAAGAACATGCACACACCACACACACACCGCAGATCATTCATCTTCTCTCCATTCTCTTCTCTCCCCTTTCCGCTTCTCTATTTCCTATTCCCCTCCCGCCTCTCCCTCTCCTCTCCCTCTAGCCCACCCCTTCCCCTTCTTTCCTCCCTCTCCTTCCCTCTTTCCACCCTTCCCTATCTTCCCTTCCTTCTTCCCCTAATCTCCCTTCCCCCTTCTCTCCTCCCCCTCCCCTCGTCCTCCCCGTCCCCCCCCCCCCCCCCCTACCAGCATCCCTCAAGAGCGACTAAAGAAAGCAGCGGCGAGAGAAGCGCCTCCTTGAGCCCCCAGCGCCTCGAGTCCTGCTTCCCTTCTCGCTCTCGAAGGCCCTCCGTTGTGTCGCCCCGGAAATCCCTTCAGCGGGTTGCCCTCCGACCCCCCCCCTCCACCTCCCTCCCGGCTGCCTGCTGCTCCTGCTGCTGCTCATACTAACAATCCTGCTAATACTTCTACTGTTCCTACTACTTTTCCTACTACTAGTCCTGCTATTCCTGTTACTACTACTCATACTCGTACTACTCATACTCCTCCTACTACAACTCCTACTACTATTCCTACTAATACTCCTCCTCCTCCCTCCTCCCTACTACTTCTTACTAACTACTACTACTACTAGCTACTACTACTAGCTATTCCTACTAATACTCCTCCTTCCTCCTCCCACTACTTACTACTACTACTACTTACTACTACTGCTACTTACTGGCTACTTACTGCTACTACTGCTACTACTTGCTACACTGCTACTTACTGCTACTACTGCTACTACTGCTACTACTGCTCTACTGCTTACTACTGGCTGCTACTGCCTGCTACTTGCTGCTACTGCTGCTACTGCTGCTACTGCTACTTGCTACTGCTACGCTGCTACTGGCTGCTACTGAAATACTGCTACTACTACTGACTACTGCTTACTACTGCTACTACTGCTACTACTGCTACTACTGCACTACTACTGCTACTGCTACTGCTACTGCTAACTGCTGCTACTGCTACTACTGCTGCTACTGCTATGCTACTGCTACTGCCTCTGCGCGACTGCTACTGCTGGCTACGCTACTGCACTGCCTGCTACTGCTACTACTGCTGCTACTGCTACTACTGCTGCTACTGCTACTACTGCTACTGCTGCTACTGCTACGCTACTACTTGCTACTACTACTACTACTACTACTACTACTACTACTACTACTACTACTACTACTACTACTACTACTACTACTACTACTACTACTACTACTACTACTACTACTACTGCTACTACTACTGCTACTACTGCTGCTACTGCTGCTACTGCTACTACTGCTACTACTGCTACTACTGCTACTACTGCTACTACTGCTACTACTGCTTACTAACTGCTACTACTGCTACTGCTGCTACTGCTGCTACTGCTGCTACTGCTACTGCTACTGCTGCTACTGCTGCTACTACTGCTACTACTGCTACTACTACTACTGCTGCTGCTACATGGCTAACTGCTAACTGCTACTGGCTACTGCTCTACTGCTACTACTGCTGCTACTGCTACTACTGCTACTGCTATTTACTGCTGCTACTGCTACTACTGCTACTGCTGCTACTGCTGCTACTACTGCTGCTGCTACTGCTACTGCTGCTTGCTGCTACTACTGCTTACGCTACTACTGCTACTGCTGCTACTGCTGCTGCTACTGCTGCTGCTACTGCGGCTACTGCTACTACCGCTACTACTGCTACTGCTACTACCGCTCTACTGCCGCTATACTGCCACTACCGCTACTACCGCTCTACTACTGCTACTACCGCTACTACTGCTACTATGCTATTACCGCTACTACTCCTACTACTACCGCTACTACCGCTACTACTGCTACTACTGCTACAACTCCAACTACTACTACTAATACTCTTAATATCCCTCCTGCTATTGCTCCTATCATTAATGCCATGCTACAATTCCTACAGCCCCTGCGACTGCGATTGCCACCACCACCCCTGAGGCGTCGGGGGGGGGGGGGGCGACTACCCGGAACGTGGAGGGACGTCAAGCAGCTGATCCTGTGCCTCCGTGGCGTGATATTAAAGGAGGACGAATGGCTGGAGAGAGAAGAAGCGGAGAGACGAGAGACGAGAGACGAGAGACGAGAGACGAGAGAGAGAGAAGAGAGAGAGAGAGAGAGAGAGAGAGAGAGAGAGAGAGAGAGAGAGAGAGAGAGAGAGAGAGAGAGAGAGAGAGAGAGAGAGAGAGAGAGAGAGAGAGGGGGAGGGAGGGAGGGAGGGAGGGAGGGAGGAGGGAGGGAGAGAGAGAGAGAAGAGAGAGAGAGAGAGAGAGAGAGAGAGAGAGAGAGAGAGAGAGAGAGAGAGAGAGAGAGAGAGAGAGAGAGAGAGAGGGAGAGGGAGAGGGAGAGGGAGAGGGAGAGGGAGAGGGAGAGAGGAGAGGGAGAGGGAGAGGGAGAAGAGAGACAGAGAGACAGAGAGAGAGAGAGAGACACAGAGACACAGAGACACAGAGACACAGAGACAGAGACCAGAGACACAGAGACACAGAGACACAGAGAACAGAGAGACACAGAGACACAGAGAACGAGAGACGAGAGACGAGAGACGAGAGACGAGAGACGAGAGACGAGAGACAGAGAGACAGAGAGACAGAGAGACAGAGAGACAGACAGAGAGAACGAGAGACAAAAACCATCTCGACAGCAACTTCGGACATGAAAACCGTAGAAAGACTGAAGACTCGACAGCCGGATCGTGGGAACGATGCCACGCAGGTGATAATTCCTGCGATGGCGCTGGTGGTGGCCTCCGCCGGGAAAAGAAGGAAGAAGGGGAGGGAAGGGGAAAGGAAGAACGGGGGAAAGAAGGGGAGGAGGATCGAACGCCGGGGAAGAGAAGAAGTGTCGAACGCCGGGGAAGAGGAAGAAGGGGAGGAAGAAGGGGAGGATGATGTCAAGCAGCCTAGCGAGGTGACTCCGTGACACGACGCTGGAGGAAGAACGTGAGGGAGAAAAGAGGAGAGGAGAGAGAGAGGCAAGGGAAACCCAACCCAACAGCAACTTTAGCAACGAACACGTGTAAAGCTCGAGCCTCGGGAGACGGGGGGGGCGGACCGCATGGCCACTCCCCCTTCCCCCTTTCCCCCTTCCTCCCTCCTTCCCCCTCCCTTCCTCCCTCTCCTCCTCCCTCCCCCCTTCCTCTCCCCCTTTCCCCTTACCCCTCCTCCCTCCCGCCCTTCCCCCTCCTCCCTCCCTCCCTCTCCCCTCTCCCTCCCCTCCCTCCTCCTCCCTTCCCCCCTCCTCCCGCCCCTCCTCCTCTCCCTCCTACCCTCTCCTCCCTCTCCCCCCCCCGTCCCTCCCCCCATATCCTGGCACCGAGGACACCCGCGCAGAGACAGGCACTCAGGCTCACTCCCCCTCGCCCAGCTTGCAGATGATGTCGAACACCTCCTCCGGCTGCCGCATGAGCGACTCCTCGCTGAGCTTGACACTCCGCTCCTCCCCGATTCCCTCCTCCCTCCTCCTCCTCCCCATTCCCTCCTCCCCCCATTCCCTCCTCCCTACCTCCTCCCTCCTCTCCCACCCCCTTCCTACCCCATCCCTACCCTCTCCCCTCCTCACTCCCTCCTCCCCTCCTACCCCTCCTACCTCCTTTCCCCTACCCCCTCATTCTCCCTCCTGGCACCGAAGGACACCCCGCAAGACAGGCACTCAGGCAACTCAGGCAGCTACTCACCCCTCGCCCAGCTTGCAGATGATGTCGAACACCTCCTCCGGCTGCGCGCATGAGGCGATGCCTCCCCTCGCTGAGCTTGACAACTCCCTCCTTCGCCCCATTCCCTCCTCCCCCATTCGCCCCTCCCCCATTCCCTCCTCCCCCCATTCCCTCCTCCCTACCTCCCTCCTCTCCTCTCCCATCAGCCCCTTCCTCCCCGGCCATCCTACCCCTCTCCCCTCCTGCACTCCCTCCTGCCCCCTCCCTACCCCCTACCTTCTCCCCCTACCCATCTCCTCCTGGCACGAAGGACACCCCAGCGCGACAGGCCATCAGGTCAAAACATCAGGCACTCACCCCTCGCCAGCTTGCAGATGATGTCGAACACCTCCTCCGGCTGCCGCATGAGCGACCCTCGCTGAGCTTGACCAACTCGCTGGAAGGGAAAGGGAAAAAAAAGGTTAGTACAAAACGCTTGAGACTTTGAGACTGTGAGTGCGTGTGTGTGTGTGGTGTTGGGGGGGGGTATGGGTATGGGGTATGGGTATGGGTATGAGTGTGGGTGTGGGGTTGGGTGTGCTGTGTGGGGGGGGGGTATGGTATGGGTATGGGGGGGGTATGGTATGGGTATGCGGTATCGCGGTATGGGTAATTGGGGTATGGGTGTGTACGTGTGTGGGTGTGTACGTGTGTGGGTGTGTACGTGTGTGGGTGTGTACGTGTGTGGGTGTGTGCGTGTTGCTGCGTGTGGTGTGTGTGGGTGTGTGTGTGTGTGTGTGTGTGTGTTGTGTGTGTGTGTGTGTGGTGTGTGTGTGGTGTGTGTGTGTGTGTGTGTGTGTGTGTGCGTGTGGCGTGTGCGTGTGCGTGGTGCGTGTGCGTGTGCGTGTGCGTGTGCGTGTGCGTGTGCGTCTGCGTGTGCGTGTGCACGTGTGCACGTGTGTACGTGTTACGTGTGGTACGTGTGTACGTGTGTACGTGTGTGGTACGTGCTGTGTACGTGCGTGTGTGTGTGGTACTGTTTGTGCCAATTGCCTCGCCAGCATGGAACGTAAATATTACGCAACCGCCCTTTCCTCGGCGCGGACGTGAATAAATTATATACAAGAAAAGGCAAGTCCTCAACTTTTTTTCACAACAGAGAACTTTGTCTTCATTGTCTATTGTTATATTACTTGTAAATGGGTAATCAAGACAATATAATATACGAAAATAACTTGCGAAAATAAATAACACATAAAGAAACAACTGCGAAATAAATACCATAAGAAATAACTTTGCGAAAATAAATACCATAAGAAAATAACTTGCGAAAATAAAATATCCATAAGAATA